GAACGTTTAGTTAGATATAATGAGATAAACTTATATAGATATATGTGAGCGGCATCACGCCCATTGACTTCTTTTCAAGGGATTGTTTGGGTAAAATTAGCGTCCTTAAATTTCGAAATATCGAAGTTTTAAGCATTTATGAAATTTGCCGTTATGAAAAAGTGGGCGTAATTTTAGTCCGATTTCGATAACTTTCAACGTTTTGCCTTTATGTGGCAACCACAATAACCGTCCCGAGATGGTACACATTGATCGAACGGTTACCGAGATACACATATGTGATCGTAACTGGGCGGGGTCACGCCCATTTTCCAAAATTTTATTATAAGCGTATTTGAATAAATTAGCTCCAGTATTTACTGATTTATCGAAGCATTCGTATTTCTCTAAATTACCGTTATATGGGATGTGGGCATGGTTATTATCCGATTTTTTAAATTTTCAGCCGTTTGGTATGTTTTGTGAAGGCCAACAACTGTGTCTGTGTTTGGGAGAAATTGGCGGAGCGGTTCCCAAGGTATACAAATGTAATCATAAGTGGGCGTGGCTATGCCCATTTTCCAAAAACTTATAATATTCTTATTTTTCGTCTAAAAATTATTGCAAATATCAATTTGGAGTGAAGTATCTTCAATAGTTACTAAAATATCGCAGTTTTCGTATTTCTGAAAATTACCGTTATATGGGAGGTAGGCGTGGTTATTGTCCGATTTTGCCCATTTTCAATAACATCGATTCTACGCCCGAAAGAAGTGCACGTACCAAGTTTTGTTAAGATATCTAAATTTTTACTCGAGTTATCGTGTGCACAGATGGACGGACGGACAGACAGTCACCGCTTAATCGATTTCTCTTTTCATTCTGATCATTTATGTATACATTGGTCTATATCTATTTCGATTCGCTTTGCCTGTTACAAACAACCGTTATGTGAACAAAGTTATAATACCCTTGTGCACAAGTGCGTTTGGGTATAAAAATACTTGACATCCGCATTCGCATCCGCATCCGCGGATGTTGGCGTTTAAACATCCGCATCCGCATTCGCATCCGCGGATGTCTAAAATTCCACATTCGCAACATCCCTGGTACCTATGACTTACTATTGATTTTTCGCAATTTTTTAAAGATGTTGCGTAATTTCGTCCATATAAAAAAATCATCGCACATATTCCGCATAGAAGAAAATGGGCAAAACCTTAAACAAAAAATCTAAAAATCAGCAGTAAGTCCCAGCTACTTCAAACTTACCTTGTATTTTACTTCAATTAAATGGACCTCAAAACTGCATACTCAAAATTTTTCAAAGGAATCAAATTAAAAACCTTGAAATTCTTACGGGTTTTTAGAGAATAAAGTATATAGATTCGTTAAAACTTGCATGGGTTGTATTTACCTTTGAATATTTTTAAAACACATTGCATAAT